GAAATTCAATTTTAGATATCGAAATAATTTAGAAACATGTAGCAACATGCATAGAGCTGAGCTTGATATGCGCACACATATACACACATGCATATACATACATATGTATACTCTATTTCGTATTCAGATAAAGCCTGAGAACTTAGGCGTATCGAAGTTTCGGTAGTAGAATTTGTGACGCGTTTGCCCATACGACCGATTAAAGCTTTTAGATTACAAACACAAACAAATACATGCATGACATATATGTGTGTATGTGTAGTGTCACACGAGGAGGCACGTTTTGCTCATAAATAGCACACATACACACACACACACACACATGCATGCACACACTTTTGCATATTGCATTTCTTGCTGTGATAAGACTCTGCAGCTCGAATCTACTCACACATTTTGCATTGTCTTACGATTTTATGCAGTGTTTTTTTCCTTTCCACAACTGATATGATATGTGTAGATGTGTGTAGTATGTACTCTATAGATATCCTGTATTTTGAGGAAAGTGCAATTTAATTTGTTTACTGTATAGATATCCTATATTAAAGTAAAAGATATTCTAAAAAAAGCTGAAAATTGTATCTTCCGGTTGTAAAAAAATTGAGGAAAATTTAAAATAGCTAGTATATATACTCTTTAGATATCTCTTATATTCAGAGTATTAATATATTGACTCTATAGATATTCTGTAGTTAAAAGAAAATTCGAATTTCAATTTGAATGAAGAAGTCAACATAAAATATTTAGCTTGAGCTGAAGTTATTGACGGCTCATTGATGGCTCAGCTGCTCTATCTCTCTCTCTCTCGCTCTCTCTTGGTCTCCCTCTCTCTTTCTGGTATTGCCACACTTTTGGTGGGCTTCAATTTACAGTTTACAGTTTTGCTTCTCTTTCATTTTGTTATAAATAAATTGTTATTTTATGACTTTTGCTGCGCTCTGCGTTTTTTTTTTATATTGTTGATAGTTTTACTTTGTATAAAAAAATGTATATATATATTTATTATATATATATATATGTAAGTCTATAAAATATATATATATGTATATATATGTGTGTGTGTTTATATGTTTATATAGTGCGCGCCTTTGCACGCTAGAGAAAAGCGTGAGAAATTTTTGGCCGTGGTTTTGTTTTTTGGGCTGTTTGTTGTTGCTTTAATGTTTATTGTTGTTGCTGTTTGTTGTTGCTATTTTACTTGTCGCTGTCGAAGTTGTTGCTGTGTTTTGGCTTTTTTTCTCGGTTTTTGCCTTTGTTTTAGTTTTAGTTTTGCGGTTGTTGCTGTTGTTGTTGTTGTCGCTGTTGCTTATTATGCTGATAGCGTTTTTGGGTGGCTTTTGTTTGCTGTTTGCACAGCGTGCATGTGTGTGTGTGTGTGTGTGTGTGTCAGCAGCAGCAACAGCGGCGAAAAATTTAAATTCGATAAGCGCCATTTATAACGGCCAGTGACATTTGTCTGCACCTCTGCCACCCCCGTCCTTCTACCCATGCTATACACACACACGCACACATACTGAATGATAATTAAAATTAGGGTTTATCAGTCAGCTGACAATCAGCGCCTTAGCCTCACTGCAAGCTGACAGACAATAATAAGATGTAAGAATACTGCAAGCGGGCAGCATCGACTACAGAATACTCGTCCAAAAGAGGAGTTGATGTAGATCACATTGTATATGCAACGATAATCTATCTATGTAATGCATATGATCTATGTACATGTTAAGCTCCAATTATGGCACAATTTAAGCCTAGTTATGAGGCGCAATTAGCAGCTCATTTGTCTAAACCGACGCGCTCGCTTGATGGGTGTGAGGGCGTGTTTAGGCTGTTGAGGCATTCAACAGCGTTACACTTGCCTGCATCGCCAAGCGGCCGACTAAACGGTCGAGCACCGGGCCCCAAAACAAGTGCGCAGCCAACAGATTTGTACGGTGCGCATTTCATTGTGCGGTAAATCACACGCAATAAAAACCAAAACGAAGAAGAAGAAGCAGCAGAAAAACAAAAACAAAAAACTACATACGAAAAGCGCTTCACGCTCTATCGATGAAGCGTTGAATGGGCCAGTGCGGCCTCTTAATAGATTAGAGTCAAGCTAAGTCAGCCACGCCCACTACTCAAATACATCAACTACAAAAGCCTTAACTAATATGACTAGATTTAAATCAATTGAACGCAAATAAAATCAATTGAATATAATAATTGAATATAAATAATATAAATAAGCTAAGAGATTGAACGAAAGGAAAGGCTAGATTTGTAGAGAATGCAAGCTGAGCCGATCAAATTTCAAATTTCAGTTATCGATACTTATTTAAAGAAATGAGCTGTGTTATCGAAAGATCAAACAATCGAAAATATAAAAAATTTGATTTATTTAGTTTTAATGAATGGAAAAATCAGACAGGAAGTTTCTAGAAGAATGTCTCTATAAAGAAAGTCGAGATAGAACAAATGTAGCTATCGGGCATAAAAATAAATACAGTACCCGGAAGACGATTTACGAGGAATATTTAAGTTTGCTCAGGTTTGTTTGGGGACCTAAAGCGGAGTCGATATAACCGAATTCTACTGTATATAAAGCGACTTTATGATATCTACCAGCCCATTACAAACACCTGCACAAAGCCAATATACCCTGAATAAGAAATTTGCACCGAGTTCAATTAAAGTGTGTAGCGCATGAAAAGTTCTTCCATTTTTTACTCAGATTGTAGCATATCTCCAATGCAAATTTCTTCATAATAGCAATGATAAAAATATGAAATTCACAATAAAAAAAGAATGATGTATTTACATATATTTTCATCGAGTTCTTATATGCACAAGATAATCATGCAAATAATATTTCTCTCAAGAACCGCACCTTAACAATGCACATAAAACATTTTGCTTTTATTTTTGCCTTTTTATCATATATGTATGCATATACATATATATTTTTTTTCTGCTGCACTAATTGAGGTCAATTAGTTTACACACAAAGAGAGAGGGAGCGGGAGCGGGGGAGACAGCGGCATGCATGTGCAGACATTTGGCACTGGAGCGCAGCTGGCGGCATAAATGTTGCAAAAAAAAAATAAGACAAGCAACAATGTATAGCAACATGTTGCTGTGAAGCATGCTGTTGCTGCTGTTGCTGCTGCTGCTGCTGCTGCTATGTCGCAATATAATGCATACGCCGCGTATGACTCAGGCCTGAAATTTCGTTGGGCTAAGATTTATGCCGGGTTCATTTTAATTTTTTTTTTTTTATATATTTTGTTTTTGTTTTTGGTGTTTTTTTTTGTATTATTATTATTTGTCTGCCCCATCGATCATTCAAATGCGAAATTTATGTTTACGTATTCGCGACAATTTCGTGTTGCATTTCGAATGCCAAGCGGCGAACAAAGCGCGCTCATTGAACAACAAATATACATACATACATAACGTATATATATGTACATATGTATATTTGCTTGACTATGCACAGCTATATAGCATATGGATATGTATATACAAATATATATCTATATACATTTATCGGGCCGGCGAGGGGTGTCAAGTGTTTGGGTTTATGATATATGTATGTACATATATATATATATATAATATATATATATATATATGTATATTTCTTCTGGCCCGCTCGTTGCGAAGACAAAGCTATTTATTTATTGTGCTGTGCGGGCAATCAAAACTTATTGTCGCCTGTTGTCTGCTTGCCTCTTCTAACCTTACCGCCTCCCTCTGCCATCTTCTCTCTCTCTCTCTCTTCCTCGCTCCCTGTCGCCCCTTTGGTCGCTGGCAGGAAATCGCCACACGCCCAATTAGCAAACATTGGGGCGCTTTGGCGTGCGGCACGTTTGTTTAATTTGTGTGCCATTTTTACAATGAAAAATAAGCATATTTTCAGCTGGCTCTTCTGCTTTTTTTGCTTCTTCTTCTTCTTTGCTGAAAGCAGCAAATTGCACAAAGATAGCATTAGGGCAGAAAGGGGGAGAGCCCCCCCTCTAGTGTTTCAAGTGCACTGAACCTTATTTATTGTTGTCTTCTTGCTATTGTTGTTGTTGTTGTTGCTACGGCGATTTGCTGATCGTTCGTCAGCAACTTTGAATTTTGCCGGCATTTGCTATTTCAAGTCAGTTCACTGGCTAGATTTGTCGCGCTCTCTCGCTATACCTCTCACCCTCTCTCTCTCTCAATGCTATCTCTCACTCTTTGAATGAATGTTGAATAGTATAGTATTCGAAACGCCTTAATTTATTGTAATTCTGTTAAGTATTTTAAGTAAACTAGGAGCTACTAGAAGTGTGAATGAAATAGAAAAGAAGCAATAGTAATAGATCAGTAGATCTATTGAATGTTTGAGTCCAAGTTAAATATGCTCTATAGATAGACCTCTAGACTAAACGAAGAATCAATCAAATGGGTTCTTACGTACATCTAGCAAATTATGTATAGATAAGTCTTTTTCGTTAGAAAAAAAACATATACAGGGGAGCAGTTTTTTTCGATTTATAAAAAAATACAAATTATTGAGAATTACTAAAAACGAGTTTCTTTCAAGGAGACGATATAATTTTTTCGATTTATCACGATTTTCGATTTAGGGGATTTTGGGGTACAAGCTTTTCGAGGCTCGACTGTATGATATGCCTATATTCCAAACTAGAAAACTGATATAGATAGATATCTAGTGAGATATAGATAGCTATGCATAGAGCATAAACTGTAGACTGTATTACAGTTCTGAAGTTCTTTATCATCAGACAAATATTAAGAATAATACAAATTAAACAAAATATTCTTCTTCTTCTTGGGAAGTGAAAAACCCAACGGTAAAATGAGTTCCCAGTTCTATTAAGAGTTAAGAGAGTTACATATGAATCTCTGCTGAATTCAAAGCACATCTTATATAAATCAATAACTAAGAACCTAGCTTAATCTATAATCTATAATCGTTTTAAATTTAATTTCTCTAACTTTTCTTGTATTTTCTCTCATTTTCACAGAAACCGGCTTGTCTTTGGCCGTTTCCTGCAGCACATTGGGCTGCAAGAATGGCGGCACATGCATCACACAGACGAATGGCAAATCCTACTGCTCGTAAGTATAAAAAAAAAAAAAAAAAATAAATAAATAAATAAATAAATAAGTAAAATCAAAAGCATGTATTTAAACGGAAGGAAGCATACGAACGTTAATTAGGCGCAGCTTACAACGGCGAATGTCGATCGGCGCGATCGGCGCAATTTATGATAATTTATGCAGCAGCAGCTGAGTGTGTGAGCGAGACAGGGCTATCAAATTTGTTGCCCTGAACTTGGGATTGATTTGCTCAGTTATTAGCATAAGTTTGCTGCTTCTTTATTTTCGCTGGGCAGCGAAATTTGCATACGTCAATCAATTGGCCGAGATCGACGGCTGGCTATGTGGCCAAGGACACACGCGCTAAGCAAATTGAAATTGAAATGGAATTGAAATGAATTTAAATTGAAATTGAAATTGAAATTGAATTTGCGGCTGCCATCAATGCGAATTGACATTTGTTGGCCCGATGCAAGAAGAAGCGCTGCTTCAATTCACTCGAATTTCGTCTAGACAATGGGCCAATGAATTAGTATAATAAAAAAATGAAATCGAGAAGCAGAAAAAAAAAACGAGCTCAGAACTGAGAGGCAAGGATTGAAACTGAGCTGAAATTCAGTTTCCCTTGCGCTGAGCTGACAGACAAAAGAGCAGAGCGCCCGCACATTAGACATAAGACATAAGACATAGGACGAAATCTTGTCCCATCGAGACAGTGGAACGATGAGGCTTCGTGCCTTTGTACACATATTCGACATTATGCGTTTGCCGAGAGCTGGATAAGAGTTAGAGAGAGAGAGAGGGAGAGAATTTTCACTCCTTGTTGCAACACATTTCGTTTGTCACTTGTCGTGGTAGGCAATAATTTTTGTTTGGCTTCAGTTTTTTTTTTGTTTTTTTGTGGCAATGCATTTCCTTTTTCGCTTCGCTGCTTTTGTCAGTTATTTTTGTGGCCTGCTCTTGTAATAAATCACATGCGAATGCGGCTCGAACACCAATGGCACGTACTCAACGCATAACTCGAGCTGAGTTATGATATGGCTGCGAGTCGCAGACACGACGAAAACTTCGTGTTTTTTGTAGTCGGTTTTGGATTTTTTTTTTTTTTGAGTCTGTCAAAATTTTACGAGTCTGCGAGCATGGCATAATTAAAACAAGTGAAGAAGAGGAATGAAAAAAAAAAAAAGTCTGGGCGTGCATTGTACTCGAAACCGGGGCGAGATCGTTTGAACATCGATTGCATTGCCAAGCAGTTGGCCTCCCTCTCTCTCTCTCCCACTCTCTCTCTCTCCCACTCCCAGTGTCTCGCTTGCAGCTTCGGTTTATGTCATGATCAGTGATCAGTGATCTTTGTATGATCTATCGCACGATTGAGGGCGCTTTCATTGAGCTCTTGAGAAACTCATGTATTTGCTTTGTTTTTCTTCATTTTGTTTTTGGCTTTAGCTGTTTGAACTGATCTTTGCTCTCGGCTATATACATATATATATTCTCAAGTTGATCGTTAGAGCTGTGATCTTTATCGGCTGCTGTCTGCACTGTATATACAATTTCTAGCCATTTAATTAACTTATTGGCCCACATACATATCTATGCATTCGATTTGTTTGGCAATGCGAGACTCTCTTAGAGCTGATCGCTGATCGTTCGGTAGCCATGCAGTTTTATTACGGCTATTGCGTTGATAAGTCAGTGGGTCAAGTATTGTTTTAGCTGATTTCAGCCATTTCAACTTGCTCGAAAAGTGATCTTTGTGGCTTATCTTTATAGAGTCTACCCAGGCTTGCCACATGCATATGCATGAGACATGTTCTCTCTCAGTGTCTGTGATCGTGAGTGATCAGCCATTGCAACTTCTGCCAGCTATGCCACGTATCTACTCCCTCCTCTCTCTCTCTCTCTCTCGTTTTGGCCGACTATTTGGCTATCACTATCTTTAGCAGGCAATTACATAAAAGCGCTTAAGCTTTTAGCTTAAAAATGCGACCGCTTTTCGGCTGCGGCTGCCGTTGACGTTGGTTTTACGACATTTTCTCTGGACTGAGTCGACGACGACGACGACGACGACGGTGCGACGATCGCGGCTGATGATCAAGCCATGTGGCAGTATATTTGGCTTCTTAGTCGCTGACTCTGACTCTGGCTGTGGCTCTGATCATCATCAACGGCACGATCGGGCAGTAGAGACTGCTCCATTGCAGTCGTTACATATGTAAGTGATCTGGCTACTCTCTCACTCACTCTCTCTCTCTCTCTCTCTCTCTCTCTCTCTCTGCTCTGCCTAAATGTGCGATAACATCGCTTGAACTTTGTCAGCCATTGAGTCGGTTCGAGTAACTGTTTTGCCTTCAGGCAGCAGCCAAGGCTTGAGCTATTAGAGGATTGCGCGTATGTCTGCATCTAATACCCTTCACAGTGGGCATTATCATTTGATTACCTCCCAGTACAACAGTTGAAAGTTGGCCAACCTTTTTTAGTGCCATCAAGCATTGTATAACTCGCAGAAAACAGTTGAGCGCCTAAAGGGTATTTGATCTTTAGCATCGACTAAATCATGACTCCAGCTTCGTTTCTGGGCACACACATTACCGCATTTTGTCTTGATTTCGAATTGGTGCACAGCTCAATGATTATTTTGCAAATTTGAAAATTTCACGAGCTTTGCTTGGGTTTCTTATTTTTTTTTATTTTTTAGTTTTTGTTTTTTGTGTGGCAAACTGTGTTTAAGTTTTGCCGTTTAGCGATCAGCTTGATACGATCAGCAGGCCAATCTGCCTGCCAGCCAAGCTGAGCTTAGTCTCAAGTTAGTCTCTTTCTCTCTCCGTCTCTCTATTTCTGGCTGTCTGTCTGTCTGTCTCTGTTTGCTCTGCGGTTGTTTGTTTAATTGACTTGATTGCTCGACTTGATGGCCTGTGCAGGACACGACGTGACGTTTGCAGATCGAGCCGAGTCGTTTATGTCAGCGATTCAGCTGTGATTGGCTTGCCAGCTAGTCGCTCAACTGATTTCTATACACATACATATACATATATATCATGTCAAATGTCCATTTTGGGCTGCCTGCATCGCCCACCCTCGCACAATTATGCACTTGAGTGTGCTGAAACAGAACAATGTCCACGACTTGTATAAAATAACTTAAAAAAAAAAAAAAGATAAAAACAAAACAACAATAAAATCAAAAAAATTGTTTCAATTGTTAACTGTTCATTCTCAGCTGCGTCTTTCTACACACAATTGTTTCTTCTATTATTTCTCGATTTTTATTGTTTAGCCAACCATATAAATTTTGTGTTTTTGGGCTTGCGGTTTATGACATGTTAATGAGCAGCTCCCACAAAAAACAAGAAGAAGATGAAGAAGAAAACACACACACATACACAAAGAAGATGAAATATATAGATAGAAGCCAAAGATTGTCTTGGACCGGGAATGCGGCAAATTGAAAATTTTGCTTTGAAGTGCAAACGATCAACAATCACCCGAAAAAATAGCGAAAAATAAAAATCAGATAAATATAAAAACTCATATTGCTGCGTGATGATGAGCCTGCTGATGATGACTCATCTGGTGCCACATTATCTCCACACAAACATTTGGCAAAAGAAATTTGCTTAGGAAATTTGAAGAGTTTTTATGAGCTATGTGAGCGCTGGCTACGTTGCAGTTAATCAGAGATGTCGATAGTTATATGCCTATGTATATATTATGTTTGTCATAAATGTTTATGCATATTTGTATATTTATTTATATGCACATGTTTATGCTGTACTCATTTTTCAATTGGTTTTTTCACAAGCTCTATCATTTTTCACAGAGAAAGGCTTGGGTTTTCTTTTCCCATGGCTGATAATATTTCAAAACAAATTCGTTGATGAGAATTCTTCAATATTTGCAAATGACAAAATATAAATAATAAGCAAATATTAAATATAAATATAGATTATTTTATCAAATTCTTGAAGATGAGCAATCGATTGGCTTTAAGCTATATGTATTACGTTTAGGCATCAACAATGCCTTCAAGTCGTAAATATTGTATTTTGTTTTAAATTTAGACTATATATGCTGGTAGCTTATTCGCTATCTATGGCCGTGGAGTGTTTATCAAGTGACCGTTTACACGGTGACAGTTCACAAGGTAAAGTCACCGAATTGCTGACCCGAAGCAAGGCATAAAAAGCAAAAGCAACAACAACAACAACAACAACAAACAAACAACAATAAAGCGCAAAGAATTTTATGCGCTTATTTTGCTGCTACGCCGGAGACAGAGACTTGCCTGGGGCAAGTTCGTTGCCTAAGTCTTTCGTTTTGTATTGTGCAGCTCAGTTCATTGTTTCATGCAGAGAGCCAAACAGAGAGAGCGAGAGCGATAGCTGGAGAATTTGTGCATGTGTGTGTGTGTGTGTGTGTGTGTGTTTGTGTGTGTGTGTATTGCTTAATGCCCATGCTTCTATATATGTATTTCCATTTAATTTCATTTCCCCACACGCGGCCGCAGACAAACAGCAGCAGCAAAAGACGAAGCAGCCGAACAATAATAACAACAACAACAACAACACCAACAACAACAACAAACAACAACAACAACAACAACTTTAGTTTTTATTTCAACTCTCGGCTCACACGCTTTGCACTTGAAATGTTCTTTTTGGCTTTCCTTTGCCTTTTGCTGTGCTGTTGCTGGCTTACCTGGGCAACGTCTTCTTCTTGGACGCGACCCGCCCGTCATCGCATCGCACCGCACCGCGCCGCCCTGTCCGTTAGCTTAGCTTTACCCTACCTGCTGTTGCCCTGCTAACAATAAAAAGTGAAAAATTTTCAAGCTCTTCGTGCAATTACTTTAATTAACTCATCATTAAGCACGACAGCAGCAGCAATGCTCATGTGTGTGTGTGTGCGTGTGTGTGTGTGTATTTCTAATACATTCACAGCAACTGGGCTGACCAAAGGAAATGACAATGAAAATGCCCAAGCACAAAAGTCAAAAGCAAATGCCGCGCTAATCTCTTAAG